CAGCGGTTCTCAACCTGTGGGTCGCGACCCCTTTGGGGGTCGAACGACCTTTTCACAGGGGTCGTCTAAGACCATCGGAAAACAAAAAGATATTTACATTACGATTCATAACAGTAGCAAAATTACAGTTATAGAGTAGCAACAAAAATAATTTGATGGTTGGGGGGTCACCACAACATGAGGAACTAACTGTATTAAGGGGTCGCGGCATTAGGAAGGTTGAGAACCACTGTCGTAGTCTAACCCCAGGAATCACATGACCGAATGTGATACGCCTGGTAACAGAACTGGGTCTCTGACTATATCCTCTCCAGGGCGGAGCCAATTCCACAGCCAATGTGATATGAGTGCTGGCTCAGGAACCAGAACCCAAGTTCTATTGGGTTGTCGGAAAAGTCATGATGTATTTTTTCTATGTTTTTCATTGCAAAAATGTGTTAGGATTTTTCCAACAACCCAACAGTTCTTGCTCTGTCAAAAGCAACGTGTGTGAACATGGTGGAAGTTCTCTGGGCCTCAATTTCCCCATCTGTAAGGTAAGGGGAACAGGCCTCAAGGATTTCTAAAGGCCTCTTTAGCTCCGATGTTCTAACTCAGTGGTCTTAATACCGATACGCTGTAACTGTGGACAATTACATAATATCAAGGTGGGCACAGGGGGGTGACACATGAGGAGAGGAACCGGAGGGCCAGGGTAGGTTGTTTGGTGCTTCCTGGTCCACAGAATCCAAGACAGCTCTGCAAAGGGGGAGTTGCAAGATACCTGCTGAGTTCAGGCCGCCCACGGCATAGATAAGCCCAGCGATGGACGTGCAGCAGCGAGGCCGAATTCTGAAAGGCGGCAGGTGGGGCCGGCGCTCTGGCATGAGGTGATAGTCCTTTGCTTCGTCTACCAGGTCCCTGGAGCAAGGTACAAGATGCTGGGACAGAAGGCAACCTCCCTATGTGATCCCCATTTGCAGTTTCAAGCCTGGCTCCCCCACCTCCAACTGCAGGGGAACTGGGAAGAGAAGTCTTCTGGAAGGTTTGGTCTCAAAGAACCCAGGTGAATCCAGGAGAAACCAGACACAGCTACTGAGACCTGCTCCAAACTGCAGGGGTGAGATGAGGTGAGCCCACCTCAGCTACTGTAACCAGAGTATCTTCTAACTCTGCCAGGTAGGCACACACCTACCCGGCAGGAGAAAAACAGGTGGCAGCTGAAACAGCTGGCTTTGGAGAGGTTCGGCAAGCAGCCTGTACCCTGTCCCTTCGTAGGCCCAGCTCTTCCTTTCTGTCTCAATGGCTCACACCCTGCAGTTAACCATCTCTCACCTGGACTGAGGCAACAGAAGCTAACTACTCCTGACAGGTTTCCCTGCCTCCAGCCACACCCACCATCCCACCGTCTACACTGCTGTCCAAGCTGTCTTTCTAAGAACCTTTGATGGCTATCCATCGCCTAAAGAATGAAGTTCAAACTCAACAGCACCCTTGTGACTGCTTGTCACAGGGTCCCAGCTAATCTGCAAGCACACCTCCACCCCTACCTGACACACACCTTTATTCTGTTTGCACCTAACCACTGACTTCCCCCTGAACCAGCTGTGACTATGACCAGCAATTTGGAGGAGGGCAAATGCTTTTCTTTGCTGCTCTACTTTTATGTCCTCCTGGGGGCTTCCATTTCTGAGCAGCCTGGGCAGCCCTGCTGTGCCATGTCAGTGATGTACTCTGGGTAAAAGTTTCATGTGCTGGTAAATGTGTCCCCCGCGTCCCGCCTTGTCCATCACTGCAGATGCAGGCCCAAACCTACCTGAGGCCAGTGCACTGACTAATGCTGACTGAAGAGGGAGAGGAGACCCAGGGGGTCCCCACCAGGTCAGCTGCTGGTGTGGACAGGGTCGGGGCAGGCAGTATAGATGCATGTAGGTTCATAAATAGCTCAATGGGTGGAGATGCTAGAAAACCCTCAGATAACTTAGGGGAGGAAGCCCCTTCTGCCATGATGCTCCCACACGGCACATTTCTCTGCTCGAGGTGTAACACTTGGGCTCTTCCCGGTTGTAGACAGAAGGCAGATGGCCCTGTGTGCCATGAATTCAGAATGGCCATGCCAAACCATTCCTCTCCTGAGCTGGAGCAGAAATGGCCTCAGTGGCCAAGTCCTCGTCTCTGCCCAGACCTTCGGCAGCATCCTGTGCAGCCCACCCTTGCTCACCTGCACTTGTGGCAGCAACGCACCAGGTCATCCTGCTGCACGCGGTCTGACAGGAACTGGGGCCGGCAGAGGGGCAGGCGGATGTTGGACAGCAGCTCAGGCAGGCAGGGCTCCCTCTGCTCCCGGTCGTATCTGATCCAGGCCAGCACGGCTTCAAACACCTGCCAGGACAGAGTGTAAGTGCTGGAGGCAGCTCCTCCCAGCCACAGGCCACGCCCCTGAACCCCCCACCTCAAGCCTTCACTCCCTCTACTGAGGCAGTCCCTGGGCCATTCAATCTCTCCTACTTGTCTCCTGAATCCACTGTTTTCTGTCCACTTCCCCAGCTACCCTATTCGGTCCAGTCTCTTGAAATGCAAGCCTGGGTTACTGTAACAGTTCCTGGCTTTCATTTTGACTTCCTCAAGAAAGCTGTCCTTTTTGCACTGCAGCGAAGCACCTGCGTGCCTCCCTTCCCGCTCAGCCTGCGCCCTACTCCTAAACTCCCTCCACCACCCTCTACTCTAGCCAGGCTGGTTCCCCTGGTCACACCTAGAACTTTCCCTCGTCTCTTCCTCTTCATCTAAACCCACTCCCCTTTCTCTAAGCTCTGGCTTAAGGTCCATGTTCTCCAAGGAGCCTTCCCTAATGGCTCTAGCCACCAGGATATCTCTCTCTAAAACCCTCCAGCCCTCATAGATGCATCCCTCCAATAAAATGTGAGCTACCCAGGTCTTGTTATTAGTGCATGAGCTAGGGACAGACTCCTAGCTCCTGGGATGAGCTGAGCTCTGCCTCCCCTTTTCTACTGCTTGCTAATATCCAGGGCGAGGGCTCCTCGGACATTAAGGAAATGGGCTGAGTTGGGACTGACATCCTAACACCTTGTCTCTGAGGCCTGGGCTGCTCCCGCTGAAGCACAGTTCCGGATAAGCCAGGACTCTTTTTTTTTTTTTTTTGTATCTTAATTAAGTTTTTTATTTTTATTGTTAGTTTAAAGTGTACAGAACAATGCAATAGTTATCCTTTTCACCCTTCACATAGAAACAACCCCCTCCCCCATCTACTGCCCTCCCACCCCCGATGTCATGCTTATCTATTACAATTCCATGGACTCTATTCCCACAGGCTACTCTTAATTTCAACTACCCAGAGCTGCTCGGACATGGACTTTCACTAGATTTCCCAACTGAGCAAGCGGGACTTGCCACAGTTGTGCTCCCGGTGCCTGCAGGGCCAGGTCCAAATCAGCACCCCCACATTTTATGTCCCCCATTGTTGAGCCCTCACCACCCTCTGCTCAAAGTAACATTTGTTCACCATTCTCTAAAGACAACTTGCACCACACTTTTGTTGAATAGAAGGGATTGCCCTTCGTTCTTCTCTGGCTACCAACACCCTACACTCTCATTTAAGCTTTTTGTGACCACCCCAAGAAGGCAAGTTCTTTGTCCTCAGAGGACCCTATAATCACTCACACCTCATTTTGCCAATGGCCGCACCTCTTCCAGGATTTTAAGTACACCAGTGCCTGATCGTTGCCGTCCAGCTTAGTCGCTGATGCCAATCAGCCTTTGGCATGGCTCCCCCGCCCCAGCCTCCCTCTCAGGCCCCCCTCCTGCCACTTTCCTCACCTCTCTCTCATCTAGCATGGGCGCCATGTACTATGCAGGTGCCCTCAGTTCCCATCCTATGTGCTTATCTCTCTTTTTTAAAAAATATTTTTATTGGGGAATTGGAGGGATGGGAACAGTGGTGGGGAATTGAGGGAAGGGGAACAGACAAGTTGCTGTCATTTTGTTCTTCAGTCTAGTTGTGGAGGACGTTGCTTCAGTGTCCCAAGTTGGCACTATCATTGCGCTCTTCCCGGGTGAGGCAGATCAGTCGCCGGCTTCTGGACCACCGCTCACTGCCGCTGCTAGCCACTCACGCTGGCTGCTGGCTACTCACTGTAGCCCATGGCCCGCTCACGCTGGCTGCTGGCTACACACGGTAGCCCATGGCAACCCACTGCAGCAGGGGCTGCAGCCTACGCCGTCGCCGGCGACTCAC